TAGACAATAACCAGTAACCATCGATGAATATCGGCCTCATGCAGATAGATCGTTGACTAAACAACCTTCTGAAAAGCATTTCAATCAAAGTCAGTTTCATTGCAGGTGGACACAATGGCCCGGCCCGACACAAGAATCAAAAATGTTGCTTGAAATACTTTGAGAATGGAAAAATTCTACTTCAAACAAGCACACTTTCAATAAACAATATCATTACTTTTTCCTGCTGGAAATTTGCTGTTGTGATTACTGGACTGAATTTTTGAGAGAATGGTAGACTTATTGTAAGCACGCAGAATTCATGTTGGTTATAATAAGGCTGGTGTCAGAGTCCGCGATCCGTCGCGCGATTCGCGCGAATCGCAAAAATCGCAAGTGCCCCATTTGAACATTTGAAACACTGAATATGAAACAAGTAGAATCATGAACAGTCGTCATTCAACCATCACCATCAAGCAGAAATGGCGGCGGGATTGGAGAGCACCTCGCAGTATTGATCGGGCACTTGTGATTTCTGTGAACCGTCGTGCGACGGATCGTAGACTCTGACACCAGCCTGAGTGATGCAATTTAGTTCCCTGATTATGAGAAGGATTCTCAATACATTACTGTAATTTGTGGGAGCGAAATCTTTCGCCATGTTGGATTAAAATGGGAGAGACGATAAATTGGGCAATTAACACCTGTTCAAAGGTGTGAACTCTTCGCTCAGCTGTCTCCGTGAATACTTGCGTCGATATCCTTGCAACTTTGCAAAGAAATTGGGCAAAAGCGAAACTATTGCAACTAAGGGTGGGGCATAAATATGGTAACAAGATTGAACTACAACAAACGCATTTACTAAACATTCAGCAAAGCTCATGACTGGGCTATCAATTCGTCATTGCATTTTGTCTATAATACTATGGTTTCTCGATTTCATTATCTCTATGTATTTTGTTGATTGGCTCCAGGTAATCCGAACGAGTAGCATTTCCAATCTCACGGACTGTCGGGACTGTCGGACTTCCCGAAATCTGCTGTATCGGAAGATAGCATCGCTAGTCAGTACACCGCTCCAATTGAAGTACACGTATTAGTCCTTCTCCAAAAGATCGATCGGCTGCTAAAGCTAAAGAATGGTTGTGAATATTGTCAAAAAGCGTTTCCACTGCAATTTAGAGAGAACCATGATAAAAAAAAGTCACAAATTTGACTGTATCAGCATAAACATTGCGAAGACTTCTACTTAGAAAGCATGGGATACAAACGTATAAAGGCCTTAGAAGCGGGAGTGGAGGAGCAGAGCTAAAAATATCGAAGGCTTGGGGCGCAGACCGCGAAGAGAGTCCGTATGTACACCATCGAGAAAACCTTGGATATTAACCCTTTGACGACAATGGCACCTAATGGTGGGTGCCACCTTTTGCTGTAGTATATGGGTAACCTAAGTCAGTTTTACTGTATCATCCAAGTTTAGATAACTTGTGAGTAATATCTCGGATTGAGATGGGGCCGCGTGCAGGTTGTAAAAGTGCATGCAGGTGCAGACTTGTATCCCTAGGTGTAACCTTAGGTACTTGAGATTCTCTCTTATGGTCGTAAACCTAAGCCACGCCCCATCTACTGTCGATCCGTCTTCTGATCGAGCTGATCAGTCAGTCTGGAGTTTTGCCGAGCTCACGGGATGTGAGCAGATCGGTCTCTCTCGGAATACGAGAGGGGAGTTTCCCGAGGTCGTTGCGGACGACTAGGTGATTAACTCTACGTGCTAGAGGGCTCCCTGACTCCGAAGCGTCGCCCGATGCGAGCTTCGTTCTCTTCACACCAGTTGAAGAGTGGATCTTTCCCCGTGTGGAAAGCAGTTGTGCAGTAGTTCGTACAAGACGACTACAGATGCACGTTGGCCTAAGCGTGGCTCACGCGATGGTCGCCCTTCTGTGTTCAGAAGGAAGTGTACGTTTGAACATCCTCGGCGAGAAGATGGTTCAATCGTACAAGATGGCAGGTGAATTGCGGACAGTCCCCGTTCCCTAGCTTGGTTGAAGCCTAGAATCTACAGTAGTAGATTCTAGCACCTTTTGTATATTGATTGGCTCATTGCCAATCATCATTTTGTACATAATTTATATAGTTGCAATAAATGGTTAATTACGAATAGTGTGTTGTGTTTTGTAATTGGGTACGGTCAATCGTCACAGCTGTTACATAACACCCACTACTGTCACGAAACTTTGGAGCTCTCGCGGTTCCAACAATGCCACGTTAATGCTACGTCAATTTCTGCAATTGCACAATTTCTGGTTATTTGAAGGCGAGGGTACATACGCCGGACTATCTCTACTGTTAGGTCGGTCCATAAGTCTTGCAACAAACTGGCCGAATTCCGGAATGCAGTTCCGGAATGCATTGTCTACTTCTCTGTCCTTGTCCTTGTGAACTCAGGCACCCTAGAAGAAGTGAGCGCTTTTTTGGAAGCGGAACCACTACGGCCGCTTGACTGAAGTGTAACGGTTTTCAGTTACGCGTGCTTCAAAAGAAATGACCTTCAGCAGATTAGGCGCCCACGTGTTCGCTCACAACGTACAAAAACAAATTTGTTCCTGACTGATGGTGGATCCTTTTTGTATATTTAAGGTGTTTACTTCCACTCCAAACTTTTTTAGGGTTTCTCTTCAGATGTTTTTGGAGCCACGAGTGGTTGGTTAGCCTAATTATTGACAATTAACATTTACGGGTTTCAACAAGGGACAAAAACTTTCGGAAGCGGATGCTACATGCGTTTGCCACCTACAAACTTTCGCTGACGAGTGCTACTGCATATTTGAGCTGTGATAAAATCAGATAGCGCCATTTGCCTCAGATAGGGGGGGGAGCGAGTACTTTAACATTGCGTTAATTTAGAATTTAGGTCAAACCTTAGAAAGCGCTAGGGACTTCGGAGCATTATCAACCGTTCCTCTGGCTCGCTCGTCCAGATGGGAATCGTCCTTGCGGTCGTGGGGGGAGAGGGTGGTGAGGGAGAGTCTTTCTCTTCCTTAAAGCACCGCTCCCCCCCTGACCCCCCTGACGGCATTCCTGGAGGAGGAATGTGGGCGGAGTTGGAGGATGTGAATTATCTCGGAATGAATTAAATACAGAAACAGCCATGGTGGTGAGAATGGTTGGGAGTCGATGAGGGGAAGGGTGTATTGTATTAGGTCGGTCCATAAGTCTTGCAACAAACTGGCCGAATTTTGAATTTAATATTTTCATTATCTTTTTGTTCCATTCATCCGGCATGCTACCCTCCATCAATATCTACAACCTATTGCCAACACACTAGTAGCTGCTCGATGCCTCCCTTGTAGGACTCTACTGAATTCTGATCGAAGAAAGATCAGATGTCGATTTTGACATCATCATAGTTAGGATGAGCTTTCTTCTCTAGGAGATGGTTTGGAGAGGGGAGCAGAAGGGCATTATTTGCCACGAGGTCAGGGCTATAACGTGGATACAGAAGAACTCCCGTCCTAGAGTCTCAAAATTTTTCTGAATTTTCTTAGCAAGAGGTGGTTCAACGGTGTCATACAAAAGCAAACTTTGCCTTGTTTTTCTTTCGTATTAAAAGCGTTGCATTCGAGCTGTGGATAGTTGACTTTCGCGTTGACTGCGACATCTACACGAGGGGTTTCCAGAGCTTAACTCCTCCCGTGTTCCACCAAAAATCCGAGAAGGCCCTACTTGGACGAGGTTGAACTTAAGCAATAAGATCTCCCGAAGCGTTTGAGCTGGACTACCGCCGCTTGTTCATTTGTTAGTAAACTGTACTCCTCATCTTCGGCAAATGTGATGGATGGTCAATCGTAGAATCCCTAGTAAGTCGACTTGAACATAACGGTGTCAGATCGTGTTTGGAGCTGAATCGGGCTCAAGGCACGTGGGGACCAAACTCTACATTTTCGGATCTTCACAAGTCTTTGGAGATGCCACAGTGCTGTCTCCTTGTCGCATCGGAATCGCTCTAGCAAATGATCGATACTCTATCCAGATCCCTTTCAATAGCGTGATTGTCAGTCACAGGGTGGTTGGAGTGTGGGTTATTTTCAAATAAAAAAAGTCAACGCTGAGCAGAGTGAAGCGCCGTGCACGTTGCTTTGAGAGAGCGTGTCCTCGTTGTTATTCTTTGTGTGCCACACAGGTTTTGTACGGTGGAATCTTTATTGAGACTGACGTTTCGACTAACTCGTCGTTCTCAAAGTCCTGAAAGCGTTTTGAAACACTCAAATGTTACCTATCCGCTCATTATTATCTACATTTGACCAAGCACCACGCAGGCTAATGAACTAACGACTGGAAACTCCAAGAATGGGTCACCTACCTCAACTCCGCCAGCACCACCGCTCTTCGTTCAACAGCCTCCCTCGATGCCTTCCAGAGACAGTAGAATAAATGAGACAAGAGCCCCTACATAGCATACTGTTTTTGAACACGTAGTATAAAGAATTCATAGAGAATGTATCAATTAAAAAGTGGTTACTACTAATTCACCTATTCACAAAAACACAATCACCGTATCCTACAGATTGCACTAGACAAGATGGATGATCGGATGAGGGTGATGGATTTGTTTGAGAAAGACATACATTCACTCTGTGCTTGTACGATTACTCAGGAAATATCTGTGTGCTTTCGGGCATGGGCCTTCCAAAAGCAATTTTTTGTAGCCAGACAAGTTTATTTAACATTGGCTTTGTTTAACATTGGCAGGTGTCGCAAATAATGAAGTGCCCCAATGTAAAAATTCTCTGATCATTCCCCATACCAGGAAAGACGGAGGGCATTTTCAGCAATGACGATGCAAAAGCGACGGTGGTTTTCGCTCATTATTAACCAGTGGTGGATATAAAAACTCCGAATAAGTGTATTATCAACAACTCTTCTCCGCTTGCCTCTGTACCATTCACTGAAGCGACTGCATTCGAGTATGCACTGATCCATCTGGCTGCAATATTCTGCTTAGCGTATTCCACAGTGCACAAATGTCACAGCAGCGCTCGTCTTTATTGGAGAAGGTTGGGAGACCTCCAAAAAATCAGACCTTCTTTGGAAGCATTTTATGGGAAGAAATTCGTGAGTTATCCCGAAATGCTTCGTCTCCAAAGCGAATGCATAGTATACATTTCATAGCAAAATTAAACGTGTTGCAGAACAATAACGACCTCATTATGTGGTACCAATCCCTCACTAAAAAGCACAACTTCACAGGCGTGAGTGAAGCGGCAACCATGTTTTTCAGTGTCCTTCTTCCATATGAGGTACGTTGAGTGGTGTGCTGTGGGATCAAATCCGATTACAGTAGTTGTGCTTCGTCTATGGACTTAGAAAAACATCAACACGCATCTGTCCTGATACTGAAACTGCTATGTCCTCAAAAGCCTTGCATAACGATCGGCAAATATAGTAACTGTCTTGCTCAGTGTTATGTTGTAGAGTACACAGCCGCCCTCCTAATGATTGTGCTCATTTATTGGCAATGTTACCATAACAATCACGAATCATCATCACAGTGGTCAAATCGATGCTTTTCATGTGCTCTTCCAAATAATCACATTAACACTGCTAAGAGATGACTCTTCATCCTTAAACTCTCTCCCCCCTCCCGGTAGGAAGATTCACCTGCGTAATGTATGATATTAATATTGAACAAAGGAAAGAGTCATGATAGTCTGATGAGATCTCAAATTACAGAGTGGATTGGATGCTGTTTACTTCCACTACGTACTCGATGGGCCTAGAGGAATTGTCAAGATTTCCAATTCCACTTCGTCCATTTTCATCGACAATTTACGCTATTGCGGAAAGCTACCGTGGTGACGCATGGAACACATGTTTTTTTTCAATAAATCATTAATTGTGGCAGTGTCTCAATGTGGACAGCTTGGTCCTGAGGGAATTGCAATGCATCTAACATCAATGAATCTGCTGAATCAGATCGTAGACTGATAGAGTCTTTGCGAAACTGATGAAGCGTGTATTCCTTCACGTGCAGCTTTTGAATGCGCCGTGTTCTCATCTTTCATTCGAAATCATGAAGGTACATCAATAGACATTTGGAATGAGTGCATTTATTGGCCAGTACTGAGTCTCTCGTGACTTCTGGGAGTTCGTAACCAGACAAACTCGGTTAGCCGACCTTCTCCAGGTGGTGAGGTGCTTGGTTTCGTCCATAATTTTTTTGCAATTTTCTTGAAAGCTTTTATATAACCAGAAGCAATGAACACTTGTGCAACGAAGTAGTGGGTCTAAAAGCGATGGGATCCTCCTCATGTTACACTAGGTTGTTCCAAAAGAGTCTAGAACTCTTTTCCTCGATGGCAGTAACGTGGAGGCTCCATGTTGGAGGCAGGGTCAACCCTACGTTGTTACGAGTAACAACGGGGGGGGTCGTACTCAGTTGAGCTTGGAGGGGGGGTCGTACCCTCTCGGTGGCCGACAGTGGGATTCTTGGTAATATCGGATAATAGCCAGCACGTTACGTTTTCGTAAGATGACTGATACTAGAGCATCTATAAACCACGCTTCCCTCTAAATGAGCTTTCAAATGAATCAGCGAATTAGAAGGGCGCCCGAGGCGTGGCGCGCACCAAGGCAAGGGATGTAGTGCAAGCGCATGCTCGGAGCTTTCTAGCACATCCTAAATTAAACATAAAATTGGTCTTCCAAGAAGTTACGGGCAGTGAAACCTAAGAAAACTCGCGTTTTCGAGAAAATGGCTTGAAGAATACCCCTCAAAATAAAAAGTAACAACGGGACTAATTTTTGAACTGCTGATCTTTCAGGAACGCTTGGGTGCTCGTTAGAAAGCTTGAAACCTGTAGTTTATTATACACCGTGTTCAGCTTCCCAAATGAAGTTTGAAGGTCAAAAAGTCGCGCGGTTCCAAAAAAATAGTAACGCAAACCCCCAAAAAAGTAACAACGGGACTAATTTTTGAACTACTGATCTTTCAGGAACGCTTGGGTGCTCGTTAGAAAGCTTGAATCCTGTAGTTTATTATACGTGTTCAGCTTCCCAAATGAATGACTTTGAAGGAAGTTATGATCGTTTGAAGGTCAAAAAGTCGCTTTGCACAGAAAAAAGTAAACGTACTAAATTTTTATTAAATTAACTTTCGAAGAATTTTTACCCATGGTTGGAGAGAGAATAATTTGAATTTTCCAAATCAAATCACTTCGGCGCAGAAGCTCGAATATGAAGGAAGTTATAGCCCTAGAAAGAGGAGTGTAAAAATTCGTGTTTCAATTTTATTTTTTGCCTAATAACTTATTCATTCCCGAAGTGTTTGAGAACAAATGAGCACTCGTTAGGAAGGAGGAGCCACATCGATCCAAAATCCACCTAAATCTTCCGAACTACCTGAAATGTAAAAAAGAAAAACTCGAATTTTCACACTCCCCGTTCGACGCCTCTTCACCGTGAGCAAATGCGCTCCACCGTCAGGAAGGCTAGGGACTTACGAGGACGTAAGCAAACCAGCCCTTTTGGCACATCGGCTGGGACCGTATGCTGAATGTTGGGGAGGGGATGGTGTCCCCGACGGTGGACGGACAACTTCAACGCGGTCCTTAGAACCGCCACAATTTGGTGCTTACCTTAGAACTAAGCCTTAAAGAGAGGACGGGTCCGTCCCCTCTCCTAGGCTTAGTCCAAGGGTGAGCAGACCGGTCCTTCTGGCGAAGCTACTGGACCAGCTGCACCACTTGCGTCAGTACTCTCCTATCGTACCAACCGAGTTGAAGTAAACCGTCGACCGTTGGGGACCCCATCCCCTCCCCAACATTCAGCATACGGTCCCAGCCGATGTGCCAAAAGGGCTGGTTTGCTTACGTCGACTTACGTAGCAATAAATAGTGATTGGCAACACTGCCTCTACACAAGTGTTACATACAAGGGGGGTCGTATCAAATCACCCATGAAGGGGGGGGGGTCGTAAAAAATTTCCGAAGAGTAACAACGATAGGGTTGACCCTGCTTCATCGTAGATACAGATTGTTACTTCCCAAGGTAAAAACGTGCTCATCAGTAAATGATTAGTAATGAAGAAGAAAAAGTATGTAAGCCGTCACTACTGTATTACTTTGTAACAGCCATTCCCTCCCTGGAACCGCATTTTCATCATTTCATATAGTACCTCACAAATGAGTTTTATCTGCTTTGAAGCGTGTGTTTCACTGCTACCTTCGTTGTCAATATTTTGATTTCCTAGCTTGAGAAATGGGCGATCCAGATGGCGTAAAATCCTGACCGACGACCCAAACTCTATTTTCCATTAGAATAAACCCCAACGACTGTTATACATATATAGATAGCCTAATTATCCTTCAGGTTTACATAACTTATGAGTAACGTATCGCATTGAAATTAGGCCGTTTGTATGTTGTATGCATGCAGATGCAGGCTGCTATCACTAGGTGTATCCTTAGGCACTTGAGATTCTTTCACAGGGCCGTAAACCAAATACAAGCTCCCGTGTCTGTCGATCCGCATTCTGATCGAGCTGATGAGTTATTCTGGAGTTTCGCTGTCCCGGATGTTCAGCAGATCGTGATTTCGAGAATCGAGAAGGGACTTCCCCGCTGTCGTTGTGGACTAGATGATTACCTCGTGCTAGATGGTTTTCGCTTCGAAATGTTGCGCGATGCGAGTTTCGTTCTCTTCACTAGTGAGTAGTGGATCTTTCCCTGCTGGGAAGTAGTAGTAAAATAGTTCACACGGTACGACTACAGATGCATGCTAACCTAGGCGTGGCTCACATAACATAGTTCACTTCTCCGTTCAGGACGAAGTGTACATTGGAATATCTTCGAAACAAACCCGATTACTGTAGGAGTTCCAAAGCAAAAGAAACGTGTTTGTGCGAAAAAAAAACGCAGTGTATGACCTGTTTGCCGCCCTATAAGGCTTTCGAACCATTTTGAGTAACACCCTTCATAATATTTGATTGAACATTGCCCTATAGAATGGGTCATTCAATCAGCGAATTTACCATCATCCTACAGTAAATATAGTTCGTTAACCAGCTGTGTGTGTCTGACCGGAAACTCATAATTTGGTCCCCGCTCAATTTGGTCGCAGAGCGCTCGAACTTCAAGAAAATTCTGAGGCTGAACGCGAACATTGATGGAGGTTGAATGAGAGTGTTGAAGGAATCCTTCGCGAAAATTCTTGCATTTTTTCTTGACATGATGTGTCAGTTGTGATCACTGGAAACAGCACACAAAGTTTCACGCATGAAGATTCGGTTTCCGAAGAGAAACAAACGTACAAAAACTACACGTTATGGACATCGAAGGTAATTCGGGTGGACCAATGGCGGGGCATGGAAAGAAGTTGGCTTCGGAAGGCTACGTATCAGGCGACGCAATGAAAGGATCGGGTTAAAGCGCGCGATTTCGGAGAGTAGAGACAAATCGATCGATAGAATAGGATGGAGTAGAAGTGTAAGATGTGAATGCAATAAAGCAAGGCCAGAAAGAGTTTCTAGTGAAGGCACTCCAAGAACCAAGTGGAAGCATCCCCGTCGCCAGCATTTGTGAAAGACGTCCGTGGGCACTTTGAACGCGTAGCAGCCCTTTCGATTTTTCGAATTTTTTTACCAAACAAAAGCAATATTTCTGTTCTTTTTTCTTTTATCGTGGATAATGAATCTCAAGCCAGTTATTTATGGCTGAAATAGAATCATGATTTTTCCGTGAAGGATTCCTTCAAGTACCGATAAGAACTGATACGGCGAAACGCAAACGCCACCATTTTCGTTACGCCTCCATGTTAACACTAGTGAACGTAGCAGTGAATGTAATGTAGTGTAGTAGTGGAGGTTAGTAACAATAGCAGTGAATGCTCGTATTCATATGTCCTACGGGCTAGACGGGGAACGAGTCCTAAATGATCGAAATTGATAGCAACTGAAGTGGTAATGGACGGCGGAGTGCGAATATCACCAACGTCAATATAAACTTTTATTTATATGTTTATGTTTTCCTACGTCTCATGCGTAAAGAGAGCTTTCCTATCTGTGGAAATTTCTGGTAAACGAGTTCTCATAAATGGCATAATCTACATAGATGAATGAATGAGTCTATGTCAACAACCACCTTTAGTAGCATTTAAAACAATTTACAATGTTCTCCCAGTTATATTATAAGCACGATTCTGTATTATATCTCATTGGCTAGCGGACTTACGAAATGGTCCAATGCGAGCTTAAGTTATTATGTAGAATTTTAGAACGTGCCATTTAGCTCGCCACCATATTAATTGGGGGTTTTAAATTATTAGGCCGAAGATTAATTACTAATCAGGACTTCTTCGTCTTCTCATAGCCCTCAGATACAGGAAGGGGTTTGAAGTGTACCGGAAATTCTCTTGGACACAACTTTTAGAGGTTTTGCCCTCCTTCCCTTTAGAAACGCGAGTTCCCGTCCAAATTTGGAATTCTCTTGAAAAAATTTACAGTATGAAAGCCTAGAACTGCAGTTATAAGTTGTAACTGATATACTGTTAGATTCAGAAAAATTGCTTTGAAGGACAATTTTGCCTAATTGTGAGCGAGAGTTGGGCGCGCCAAAAACAGGCGTGGTCCCACGAGCAAGCTACGTGCAAATCCGCATTGTCGTCAAAGGTTAAGGAGAACGATCGCGTCTAAGTCGACAAATTCAAGGAATAATCTGCAGGATTCTCAAAGAAAATAGCAGAGTACAAACAAGCGAATCAAATGCGACCTCCTAGCCTAGCGATGGTCTAAACTTGAGTGACAGCAACTTCTTCCTATCCGTTAGTTTTCACTTACGTGAAAGCGAGAGATTGAACCAATGCGACAAAAGCTTCCGTCGCCTGTATTAATGAGAACGATTGGATTCGCCAACAAGGTGATGTGCCGATGAAATTTTGTGAAGCCACAGACACCATTTGTCTGACTTTGCAAAGCATTTGCCGTTGATCAATCCCTTTTTGGGATGCGGCACGCATTCTACTTCCATTTGTACATTCGTAGTGGCGTTTGAATGCGATGTGGCCTATACAATGACTTGCGGGGGCCAGCCGATGTACAAGTCAGTGTTTTTATCCTCCCAGACAAGTCTGGTACCAATTAACCGACCCCGGAGGGATGGAAGGCTTGGTTGGCCCGGGCGACTCACGACCCAGGATTTGATCCCCGGACCGCTCGCGTGGTAAGCGTGCCACTTGCCACTACACCACTTAGCAACATTACATAACATATAGAAATAAATGGTCTTTCCGTCAACAAAAATTGAGCGCTGCTCATGGTAGGAAGGTGTTAGCTTATCTCTAAAGCAAAACGTGATTAAAACATCATAAACAGCCCTGGGATCTGGTAGTGTGATGGATTAGCGCGGTCCACGTAGAGCATATGTATGCACAGGTTCGAATCCCGTTCGAGGCCATTTTCGGCCGAGAACGAGATTTTGAACTTTGCCCATATTCAGCATTCTTTTTCATCAATTTTTTTCTTCTTTCATGCTTACCGTTTTAATCATGACCTAACTGTAAATACTACTGCTTACATTGAACCAGTCACCCCAATGCAAACACTAGTGAGTTGGGCGTTTTCTTTAAATCTATTCATTACACGTGGATCCTTCGCAATCACATCCATCATCTGAACAACACTGAACCCCCGCAACGGGACATCAAGTTTGTTATTGGCTCCACTTTACTTATTTTTGTGCATTTTTGTATCAGCCTTTCTGGACCTCACGCGTCGCCTGCTTTGCATCTTTGTCATGCAGCTCTCTTTTGAGACTTACGTAAGTAAAATCCGTTGCACAACACTTTCTTGCGCAAACTGTGACCTCCACAAACAGCTAACGACACCGAGCAAAAAATAAGCCCGAAAAATAAAGACAGAACGTAAAATTGGAATTCAGGCGTATGAATTCGATCAAACTCAATGCGTTGTTGTCAGAAAGATGGGGTGCCAGGGAAAAACCTCATTGCCATGTGCGGGCATCAAACCCGCAACTCTTGCTTTTCTTGACAATTGTGGCAACCGACTACACCACCAGGGCACCGCTTCGTCATCGCCATAATGTTTCTGCGAACAGTCAAAAGTTTTGTGTTTTGCAATCAGACATTTGAACTCTTGCTCAGTGCATGCGAAATCATGCTGCGTCGATCAATCTTGACAGGACATATATTCCAATTTATCAAGTCCTACAATCCTGGAAGTGTTCATTTCGATCACAAAAAAAAAAAAAAAATTCATAACCAGCTTTGTTGGACATTCGAGAAGACACATTACACGAAAAAGTGAAATAGAAATTCGTCTCAATACAACACATCACATAATTCAATACTTGTACTAAAAACTTTTGAGCAACACCGTTCCGGTCACGGTTAATCACAATCGTAAAAAGGCGTAAATAATTTCGACACAAAAAAACAGGACAAAAATACCCAGAAGAAGGAAAAAATATGCAACGAGGACCTTGGATGAACCGCATATTATGCTATCAGGTGAAACAAAGAGAATTGATATATAGAAGTATAAGGCAATCTGAAAACAAGTGATCTCTGGCACTGAGGTACTGTATTATGGAATCTCTATCTATTACGACACATCGCAGTGCCTGTACTAAACAATATCACATCATCAATGGGTCGCGTTACCCTATCGCGTTCTCCTTGAAAGGGCTTTTCCCTGGCAGGGAACTCAGTTCACAGTCAATGAAGCAGCTCTATAGAAAAGTGAGTTGAGATCGACAGCTTCATGATATGCATTTCTCCCAGCCGCGATTCGGGCCCATCCCATTCAGGTCCACGTTCATATATGTCAGCTCAACTCCTCCACGATAGTCACTTCAACGGGCGGCATCTCTTCGAGTATCTAGAATGAACACATTTGTGCTAATTATAGTAAACAGAAAAAGTTTTTCTTTATAGAAATATTTGAACTAGTTGTGACGCCATTTTGTCCGCTTAACTTAACAATAAAACGTGCGGTCGCAAACCGATCAGGCACTTCTTGCGCTTTCGCCCCTACGCAAGCGAACACTTGATTAGCGCTAAGCAGCGCGACTATTTACGAGGCAGCTAGAATTATGGATGTTAGGTATAACAGGTATATGGATATAAGGTAAAACGACTGCACTAACAACATATTTAATACAAACAACAAAAAAGTAAGTAAAAGTAAAAATAAAACATAACGTGTGCCCGTATAACTGCCCGAAAAGGGGAAAGGTGGTTTTGACTCACGTTTGGGGTGAAACAAAACAAATAAAAAAAGCGCCACTGAGGTGTGGATATAAAAGTGTTCGCCGAAGCGATTTTTAGTCGCTTGAGCAACGCCCTCCAAAGACTGATACACTTTGGTTTCTAGCGTTCTTTACGCAAGCCGTGAAGGAATCAGGATGTTCAAAAGAAAAATTTTCCGAGGCCATTACTGATTTTTCTTTTTAAAAAAGAGAAGCACGGAAAACCGTTTCGGCGAACACTTTTGACCGCTACTATATAATACACTAAATGACATCGCTGAACAAAATTCGCTCAAAAATCCACCTTGATGAGGTTGTCGACACCCAACAGATATCCATCCTCAGAATTGCCCTGAACCCATGGAGATCGGTGATCAAGACGCCTCGTCGACTCTACTGGTGACGATTTAGCAAAATCGATCATCCAGCAATTCACTTTTTCGTTGTCGTGAATGATCAGCAGAGAACTACCCACGACCTAAAAACAGTGTCGTTATGCGCAATAATAACTAATGAGGAGAAACAGCTCTGTAAAGTGAACCTACCTCATGGGTGGCAAAGAATTGACTCCTTTCAATAGCCGATCTCATTGCCTTCAATCGTGCCAGCAGTCTGCTTCTTATCCTCTCACGATCGGTTCCGAAGAAACCTATCAAGGTCTGAGTCACATCCTCGTAAGTCCGCACTTTTTTGAAGTTCTTCTGAAGAGAACCGCCTGGCATCTGAAATACTTATCAAAAGGATATCGAACGAACTAATGTCCATTTTAAATCAGTCGGAGACCGAAATATTTTCCAAAGGTAAGGCACAGCCGTTCCTAAAAGGAGTAGGAAGAAAATATTGATGTCAAAGTTCAAAGTTAGGAAGATTTTGGTAAAGTGGAGCTCACTTTGGCTGCTTCTATTCGGAACCCCAACTCAGCGGAACTGCTTTCCCGTTCCCGAAACTGCATATAACGCAGTTTCGTGATTTCACCGCACGCTCGTTCCTCCGGCGTTGGCTCGTTGGGATCAATGGCAGTCATCTTTTCATACAAATCTTTCCTCCGTTTCGTGTTTGACACCTCAGACTCCAAAAATGTCCTGTAATTGTGCGACCTCGAAAATTTGAAGAGAAATTTTAAAAGCAACTGCAATAGAGGTAATCAGCGCTCAAAATTAGGACAACTACTTACCTCGTACCGATTTTGATGTCCATGATACTTGTTTTTGACGGATCAGCAAATTGTTGTAGCAAATCTTCAATTTCGATGAAGCCTCAAACATAAAATATTAAACAATAGTGTAAAATGAAGAGATAAAAATTTTTGTAGATGACTTCATAGATATTTTTCATTCCTTTGATAGAACAACTGAACTACAGTGGACAACTTGGACAACTCGACTATCACGAGCCATCGGGTGTTTCCTTCGTCTTCTCGGCCTCTGACTTATAGCCTATAGCTGGTAATAAGGAGCCGCTTCACGATTCGTGATAAGTAAGCCAAGTTTGGAAGTTCAGGATTGTTCATGAGGCGCACGTACGTGCGTAACCGCACACTCTACTGCAAAATCTCGTGGTTTTGTTGTTTCAATGTAAAAACGAAGGACTGTCTTAGGTTCCCAGACGTGATTAGATTCAAGCAGTTCAACTATGAATATCGGCTTTTCCAATTAGGGCGCTTATTTTCTTATGGAGCACAGAAGTGAGTGAGCCACTTGCAGAACGTGGGACTAAGTTTTAGGGAGGCGAAGGGATTCGGGGGAAGAATGTTGACAAGCTTTGGTCTGCCTGGCGTTTTCCCCTCTCCTGAACTTAGTTCTAAGGTAACCTAAAAAATTACTGCTGACACCGAGGGTGAGAGAACTTGATGTCAATTAATTATATGTCCGACGAGAAAGACTGTCAAGTTCACACCGTGAAAACAAGTTTGGATGGAGTGCTCGTAAAACCAGTATTATCTATGCCCTTTTTGTACTATTCGCTAAATCACTGCACTGCGATTACAACACGTTCTAAGAGATGGAAAGAAAAATTTAGGCGCATTTCAACGAGGCCTCGATTGATCCGCGCCTCTCCCATCGCTCGATGCGATTAGCATTGACAGCAACTGATTCCTTTCGTTTGCTTGTGAGAGTGTGACGAAATATGTATTAGTAATTACAAAATAGTCACATCATAACCTCGTATTGCGATCAGTTCAAATACCATTGCCCCTTGACATACAGCATTTGTCTAATTAAACCGATTATTTATTCATTCGACTAACGTTGGTGAGCAATATTTTGGCGAGTTAATGAAATGGAAAAGGCGAACCAAATGACGATATTGTTTGTAAAAAAATAAGCTGATGAAACCTACATTCATCATTCTTCTGCAATTGCTTGAAGTAACGTGGAGTGAATCCGTTCAGGACCGGGTCCCTGGTGATATTCTCGTACGCCCTCGCCTCCATACAGTTACCAGTTTGTTTCTTGTACAATGTGCAGGTAGTTGCAGGGACTATACTGCCTTAACGAATAAATGACAAACGAGAAATTATTCAGACAAACACGGCTGTATAACTTCAGGCTCGAAAAGGGCGTGTTCACTTGCACACTCTCCTTTTGCACACGACGAGTGGCTTACCCATCTGTTAGCAATGAGGACTGTGGATATTCACTGAGTACTTATGAGTAAAGCACTCATCGCGGAAAAGTGCTAGTGTGCCAGGTCATAACGACACGCCCCTTTTCGTGTATAAGGTCCATCTTTTAATTGAAATATAAAATTTCTGCATAGAAACTTCTATTGATTTTGCCAAGATAATGAAAAACTATTGGATGCATTAAAATTGGCTATAGATGACTAATGCGTCTAATATTTCGAAAATAAAAAAACAAAAGTAAGTACCCTATTTTCCGGTGTATAAGCCCGCGCTAGTATCATGTAAAAACACCTCCACTGGTGCAGTGTACTTGAGTACATCTAGAGTCAACCGTAACATGCCCATAGGGGTAATTCGATATGCTGATCACGAAAACGACATTCGTTTTTAGCGGTGGCGGCATCTGGCGCCAGTTGGCGCCACCTTGTCACGACCCTTGTTTTCGCCAAAATCGGTGTAAACTTCAGTATAGGGGTTATTTGGGACCCTGATTACGAATATGACATTCGTTTTTGGCGTTAACGTTGTTTAGTGCACATGTCTCGGTTGGAGAGCGCAGACGAGCAGAAAATAGGCGTCAAACAGCGCCAGCGCCTATAATGAATGTCATATTCGTAATCAGGGTCCCAAATAACCCCTATACTGAAGTTTACACCGATTTTGACGAAAACAAGGGTCGTGACAAGGTGGCGCCAACTGGCGCCAGATGGCGCCAGCGCTGAAAATGAAAGTCATTTTCGTGATCAGGGCATCGACTTACCTCTATAGGCAAATTTGCGGTGGTTTCTAAGGTGTACAAAGTTACACTGCACGAGCGGGGGTGGTTTTACGTGAAATCGGCGCGGGCTTATACACCGGAAATTAGGGTAATTAGGAATTGAAGAATACATGACTTTGGAACAGAGTTTACACACCCAAAAGTGAAAAGATAAAGATTGAAGGGTAAAGGCTCGGCATCGATGAATTTTTTTGGATGCGTCACGCACTTCACTTCCATTCAGAATCGTAGTGGCACTTGAATGAACCTTGGTCTATACAAGCTTGAGGGAGGCAGCCAATGTGCACGACAATGCATTTTCCTTCTCAGACATCTGGAACCAATTAACCAACCACGGGGGATGAGCGGCCTCTGAGCCGGGATTCGATCCTCAGATCATCCGCGTGGTAATCGGTGCTATTTGCCGCTACATACCTCTTGCACTATTCGAACAAATCAGGTCACATGAGCCGCCTTGATTACTATTTTTTGAAGCTAGGCCGCGCAGAAAATTCACTAGGCATTACTGCTGCGCTTCTGCAGCGGCGAGGTTGATAACTATAAAACAAGCATTCCAAAGGGGTTATCAAACGGAAAGGCGCTTCACTTTCAGTAAACATTGGGCTTATCAGTAGGGAGGGCGCCTTACTCCCGGCTAAAGACAATCTTCCAAAAACTTTAAGAAAAATCTTCAAGAAAGGAAGAAACACAGCAATAGAAAACAAAAAAGCAGACTAAAAATGCAGGTAAACAAAGCCAGTCTCGCAACTATTTAGAAATTATTACCTACAAATATGTGTGCAGCCTCCCCAAGCACTCTTCAACGCCTGTTCAAGAACTGTTGACAAAAATAAATAAAACTATCGGTGAATAAAGATAATGGATGCGAAAAGATGGAAATCAAAATCAATTATTACCTTCATGTCCAGACAGCTGCACCCATTTTTTCAAGCGTTCCTTTAACCAAACATCTATCGGAAGCGCCGTAATGGCCATCGTTTCCACAGAAACCTAAAAAGTGTTGAAATCTTAAATCATTCAGAAGTAATTCCAGAGGGAAATCGATAAGGCGGACACCCAAAGATAATGCTACGAATTATAGCCAGTGTTCGTAGTTAATGGCCGACGGAGCCATAGCCTTATCGATTTCTCATCCCTTCAATAGACAGGCATAAGCAAAGTACAAAAAACTTAGTGCATGGGGAAACATGTGTTGCAGATGTATTTTTTATAGAAAAAACGTTATTTTGTAGCACTTTTGAAGATTTCCATCGCATAATTTGTGCACTTGAAGTCTAGAACTCCTAATAAGACATGACGTGGATTGCTGACACGTCCGCATCCACGTCATGCATGTCGCGGTGTTTACATCTCGGTGTACAGAAACGGAATTTTTCAAAATTTTCTCGAAAAAAAGAACTACTTCCCTTGTGGACGTTGTTAAAGCTCATCGCAAAACTGCGCACTGCTGAATAATAGAATTGTATTATTTAGATCATCAATAATGGAGATGGGGGGTGAGAATTGATGCGCATGTTGCTTGCCATCTTACAAAAAACATTTTTGAAGGGATGCTATCTCTCGCACGTTTGTCAGTCATATCTGAAGTCACTGGACATATTACTAGAAACGATTCTGTTGCAGCCAGCATAGTAGAGCTTGCTATTAAGCTTCAAATCTTTCTAATAATCGAGCATGTATTCATCACACATCTATCAGTGCGGCGGCCGCACCTCATTTCTGGTGACACGCCAATCGACTTCGGTATAGGTTGACCATTTTGTTGCGCTTCACAATTGTATTTGCATAGGACAGAAGCACTTTCGCTTTGAAGAGTAAAGCATTTGCGCTGCGAAATACCGAGTCTATTCGAATCATTTTGTTCATGCTACCTTGGTCCTGCACGAAGAATTTCCGCTTGCATTAAAGCGGAAAAGCTTCAGATATCCCACACTCCTTCTACGCCCCCCCTTTAGTGTGCTCGTTCGCTCCCCACTCTAGGCGAGTCATAGTTTGCGAACGAGTGATCGCTACGAAATCTCTTGATCGAGCGTTGCGCCGCGATCAACTTGCCCAGCGAGTTAATTATACGCGACTCATAGTCGGACCTAATCTTAAGGAGAGCCGCTTCAACAGGTCCACAGCAAATCCGCAACTTTCAACAGCCTCCATGTCAGTAACGTTTTGAAGGTGCGGGCTTCCTTTAAACGTTGGGTCCCGCCACTATTGAGTCGCTGGTACCTAGTTCGACTCGCTGGTACATCGTTCGACTCGCTGGCGCAAAGTTCGATTCGCTGGTGCAACGTTCGATTCGCTGGCGCAACGCTCGGATCGAGCGATTCGCTACTACGACATCGCCTCACGATTGAGCCGCGCGATCAAACGCGGCGTCCGCTGAGTACGTCGCATCAGATTGCCTGAGTATTCGAGTACATACGTGTCATCGATCGGTGTTCCCATATGGGCGCTCCATTGGAATTGGAGCGTTGCGAGGGCTAATTAACACCGACTATGCGGTCAACTCGTTCGCGCATACACATTCGTGCCATTCCTTTCGGTGCATCGGCCAATAGACCCATCCTCTTTTTCGTTTTATCTTTGGGACTAAGCGAGGTTTTTGAGACCCAAATTATCAGATCGATGAAGTAGTGAAGTGTAGTAGTTGCGTGATCCGGACGAGTTGTCCGGCCGCAGCAGGACAGGGTGGTTGCTGTCTGCGCGCTCTAATGCCAATGTGACGACCCATATGCGCGACCCCATCGATCGTAACAAACTAATGTAACGTCGTATACGCATGGCAACTGATGAACACTACTCGGCCTCGCGCTGTGGGTGCGCGCCGGCCCCAAAATCCTTGTGATGATAGTGGAGCGTTGGTCCTCTCGATAACTCGTATTTAGAATATCAACTATCGGCAGCACATGCCCCTTACTGGCTGAGACCCCCTAATGTATTTGCTTTATGCTATCAACAAATTCAAAGTACTTCTTCAACTGTACTAGTTGGAAAGAAAGAGGTGACCAGTTTCCCAACCATGCAAACTCCGCCGCTCATTCTGCACTGTACGCCGTTGCGCAACCACGCGCCTGATCACTGAGGTGAAACGCAACACACTAGAATCAGTGACAATATGTTTATAGTAAAGGCGACACAATTGTTACAAATATCGGGTTTTCAGAAAAGTCCCCATCAACAGGAAAACATAAACAAACTGGTCTTGTACGTGTTTTTCGGTCACTTATGGTATCACTGGTAGTTAACAGCATTGCTCTCTATGAGTTACATGTAAATTAGTGACTAAACCAAACAGTTGTAGTCACAGACGTTTTCCCTACAACCCAAATAGGCGTTTCGCCATTGCAGAATAAATAGTCAAGAAGGCAACTCCAAAAAATCCATATCACGTGGGTAAAGTGATGCTGATCTTGGTGCCACTTGATGCCATCAAGTCTGCAACTACGACATCCTCCACTACAGGAAAAGCAATGTACCCTCCCTTTCAAAAAGCGAGAAAGTGTCGGGTGCAGACCATGCACCACAAGTGACGACGGCCTTCACAAAATGTTAATGTTTTCTGCCAATGAAATGATTAGCCTGTTGCAGTTGTATTCTATCGTTGTCACTAATTACAACTATCATTTACCAGAAATCAGCTATCACTATGAACACTTCTAACCAGATTTACTTGGAGGCCGTCGTCAGTTGTGGTGTGTGATCTGCACCTCGATGAGAAGAACATCACCAAACACTTCCTGGGTACGGTATACCTGGCGCCGTCGGGCACTTTTTTGTACCTTATACCTTTCTTGGAAGGGCGCTTTCTTCCGCGGGAGCCACATATCGTCTACATGGACCCTCTTTTATCCTCTCTACTATCCAGCTTCCCTTTTATGAACAAAATTTCTATCGCTAGGTTTGTCTTTAAGGCATGACGTGTCCGCATTCACACGGCGAGGGCATGAGGAATGCCACAGAGCAGTCGTTGTCGCCGGCGGATTGACATATGCGCGGTCATATACTTCAACTTCGCATAGGGTGTAACACAGGCCCGCTTTCGCACGAAAACTGTTTAGCGTGACTTTTATCAGAGCCGATATGGCAGTGACATGCGCTTTAGTTAAAGCTAAACAAAATTGTTTTTATTTTGCTGTCCGAAAGAATTAGCACCTTGATATTTAGATGCTTTCACTAAGGGTTCTTGATCCTTCTAGGCCTGAATGAATTTTCATTCCTTCATCAGTTCCGGTTATCCTATACAGCGTAGAGTGCCAGCAACAAACGTACGTATTCCACAACAGTATCAAGGTCGATGCGGGTGCCCCTATACGCTTCGCATAAGTCGTTCAGACCAATGATCGGTTGAAAACCTGTTTCTTTAGAGATTGTTCGGCATTGCCATCAATAAAATACATCCTTGAATAGCTCACATTGCTCCACGGCCAATTCAGCTTCTGGGTGAGGGAAGAGTGATTTCTCAAGAGACTAATTGCTATTCCTGAAGTGTCGCTTATGAACCCATGCCAGTGATGGGAGAATAGGATTTATCTATACGGGAATGCAGAACGTGCAAGCGCCCTGCCGACAAGGCAAACGCGACGATTTCTCTTTTGATGGCAAGGCGATTGGGGTGGTTTTCGCCGAATCAAAGGCGCGTGATGGACCGTTTAGGTGAACGCCATGCAGTAGCTGACAAATGAGAACTGAAAATCAAGCCAGCGGGAAAATCCCTGTCAAGTAACTGCTGCTTTACTTCCTTGATCCATTTCAGAAAATATTTAGTCGAAGACACATCTCGCGACCAAACTGGTGTGAGCCTTACGAGCGAAAATGGAAGCAACTGTACTAGGTGACCCTGTAGTGAAAGTGAAGAAAAAGGACGCATAAGGTTTGTCAGGAACGACGCAAAAAGGCCCATTAACTCAATCATTCAATGTCGGCTGTTGAAAGGCATAGAAGAGAACTAGCGGGGAGGTAGAGAGGATAGACGAGGAGTACGATACGGCATGCAAAGGCCAAGACCTTTTAGTCGGCATGTTGGGACCGAGGCAAATGAGAGCTGGCGAAAGTTGGAAAAGGCACCAGTGCCTTGCTGCTCGCATGTTTAAGGTCAGTAAGAAGGATATCTGCGACTTAAGGTGACAGCTCTAACTTATCCATCAGAGTGAGTGATCCTACCTGAACTCTTCGTGGGATATGCCATTGAATACAAAGCATTCAACGACATAGAGCGGGCGTTCACGCGCAGCGGATGCGCTACGGCCAACATTATAGCAGCCATCGATCGATATTTGCAAAGAGCGAAAGAGATGAACTAGTCTACAGCCAAAAAACCCGAAATGGCTTCTTTCTCAATCCTGCGAAAGTAAAATGCATTCAAAAATGTTAATCGGTGTCCGAACACAATTGTATAGTGACTATAGCCCTTCAGTCGAGTCCATGATTTCCGAGACGAAAAATTGGATTTTGCAAAATAACGAATCAAAGAGGAATAATTAGTCAAAGAGGATGTAAGAGAAATGTTAAATCTACTGATTCTATTCCACATATAAAAATTTGTGACAGGAAAAAGGTGCATGGCCTACCCCAAAATCCCCTACCAATGCTGCGAAATTTTTGCTTCTACCGGGCGAAGTCGATGAAAAACTCTTTCGAGAGCCGACAAAACCATGTTTCCCGTGAATGGGCATAAATAGGCACTGGCTGTACACATTTTCCATGTTCTGTTTGAATAACGACAATCGGATCAAACGCAAACACTTCACCAGCAAAACAATAGATATTGATCAATTCGATATGTGATATAGCCGGAGTGATTATGCAAATAAACTACTACTGTTTGATGTCGACTCACATATTCAAATGAATGACTATAGTAGCCGAGAATATGTCGCCGATGTAGCCGTTTGTAGGTCACATGTGTCCAGAACGCCTTGAAGTAGCGCCGAGGGTGGTTGCTCGCTCAGTAGTGGTCGCGCCATCCTCAGAGAGACGTAGAG